TTGGATTCAAAAAAATGTTAGTTATTATGGTTATTAGGTTAGATATGTATTAGGTAGATGTAGTATTTGTTGAGATCTTCATGATTTTCGTTTCTTGTTTGATTACTTTATTAGTTTGAGATGATTTTGTCCTAATTTGATATATTTGACCATGCTTTTTTCGTATGGCCACTCCATCGGAAAACTTCCCAACTTTGATTACATGTTCTATCCTCCCAACAATGATATCAATGAAATTAAAGGAGGAATTTGTAACCAAATGCTAGAAGTATGGTGTTTGACAAGAGATGGTAGTCAATATTTATTCAAGTAGTAATCGCCACCTCATGTCGATTTTTGGCTTACCTATTTTCATATCTTGTAGTCGACCAATTTGTAGCAACCTTTCTATTAAATTTGTTCTATTGGATGAAACAATCGATCAAATCCTTTAATTTTTTGATTTGGAACCATCTAATCTCATGTACTAACTCAAAATAGATCCACTCAAACTCCTATTAAAGAAATGTATCGGTAGCTTCTCATCATGCATAATTTCAACCATCTTGCTATGTCATATTCATAGGTGAGTCATTGGACATTGGGGGCTTATATACTTAATGAATTTAAGAACTCTAAATTTTTTAGTAATTTTCATATTTGATATTATGCCCATTCCAGCAACTTGCACTACCTCATGCATATTAGTGCCTTTAGTAGGCTTGAGCATTCTTTGATTGCTAATACTTTGTCCGGACTAAACTCTTCTATCGACTTAGTCTTGTGAACTTTTTCAATGGTGATATTTGCATCGAGTGTACCTTGCATCGGTAGAACATTGTATATGAAATTGTTGTAGTGAGAAATGATACTTTAGTAGAAATATGGTTGCTTTGGATTAGTGGGTGGAATAGTAGATGACACGAGCAATAAGTTTGGAATTAGAAAGGAAAATGACAATTTAAACACGAGCTTGGCCTTGGTTTGACGTGCCCCTACCACTTGTTAATACGAGCAATGCCTTTTCATCAATTTGGAAAAATGGACAATTTTCCCTTTCATGGAGCTAATTTTTTTTTAGTCGGCATGTTCCCACTACACTTTCTCTTCAATTTTCATCTAGCTTTACCAAAATTGAGAGTGAGATATTCGAGAGATGAGTTGAGTTTTGGTAGGATGGCCTATATTTCGGATCCTATAACCAAACTTAAGATAGATATGTACAACGAATATATAGTATATACTCGCATGATGTGAACTATGTTGGATACATTACTTTGTTATTGCGGACTTCAAACGTGACAAATTTTGTATTGAGGATGGGCTAAATCAAATTTTAATACTTGTTAAGGGTACAACCCCATAGATATTTTGGGCTATTCGGGAAACATATCTAACCTAGATAGGATTTGTCTTTGATAAGATTTTTTTTCGATTAGGATCTCGAGTGATGAGTGCATCTTGTGATAGCATACACGGAATAATTTTAATTTTAGACTTTTAGCACATTCTAAACATGACTTAGAGCTATTTTTTATTGAAAGATAAAAATTAGTACAACTATTTTCAATAGTTACTTGTTATAATCACTTAGATTATAATGCTTATAATATTTGCATTACAAATAGATTCCTATTATACTCTTTGCAATTTTAGATGCGGGGTTGAGGTAGTAGTGGCTATGTGGTTTTTGAATTTTATATGAGCTCATTTTCGGTGGTGTACTTGTTGCTTATGGGTTCCATCCCCTTTTTTTTTTTTGGTTTTTTTCCGACTTCGATACAAAATTTGGAGGTAGATAGCCTCCCTCCTCAAACTGGACTTCTTCTAATCCGACCCTAAAATCCTCAATAACATTAACTACCATAATTTGTTTAGGTAAAATGCAAAAATAAGGATTAGATGAAGCAATCTCACAAAAATAGTTTGTGTCTTAATGGGTCAATCCTAATGGATAGGATCTAGCTTTTCTTCGGTTTAAGCAAAATTCATCTAATCTTGAAGTCATTTTAAGTTTTTGAATTGTCTAAATTACTAGTGCAATAATCCAACCTCTAACCTTATGCATTAGGAGGTAGGAAAAAGTTATTCTACCATTTCTTATGCATAGGGTGAGTTTCAATCTAAACGAGAGTTCAAATAAGTATTAGTAGACTTTCATCATACTTGCCTTCGAATCTCTCTACCTAAATCTTAGTAGGATCTTTAGCTTAAGTCCAAAGCTTTTGTAGGCTTCTTTCATGATCCGTGCAATTACAAAGTAAATACATATCCAACCAAGTTAACGAGAAAATATGTACATAAATAAAATTAAGAGAAAATAAATTATGTAAAATGAATGACTTGAAATATATAGAGGAAATAAAATTCAAAGTAATAAATTGCACAAAATAAATAATTTGGAATTAATTAAATGAAAAGATAAAAGACTTGGAAAAAAAATGGAAAAATAAACAAAAAAGATAAATTCAAATGACTAAACCTATGACCTAACTCTAAATCCCTAGTGGAGTCGTCATTCGGTCACTACCCAACTTCGATTGGCCTCTCAAAAAATATAAATTTAAGTAAGATTTATTTATGATTTTTATGATTTACGGAGGTGTGAGTTATTATTGATTTTGGGAGTCATCATCTAGAATTAAAAGAATTAGGAACATAAAATGAGTACTGGTTTAGAGATTCCAAGGTAAGGAGTTGGTTATGCTTTTGGAAAGATATTAATCACCCAAAAGCACTCATTCTCGAGAAAGGTACCACGTCTAGTTTAGTTTTAAAATTTATCTCCTAAGGTGCTTTTATTTTTGTCGGCTTATTTCCAATTTTAACTCCAAGTTTTTATTTCATAGGCCAAATTAATTTTTTATTTTTGTTTGTGGTATCTTATTGAACCAATCGTCGGATCACTTCGTCGGGTGACACGTCGGTTTAACATCGGATCTACTTTAAGTCTCGACATAACTAATATGTTAGAGAATAATCTAATTACTAAAATGTGATTGATTAATTAATAACATCCATCCCCATTAGATAGGAGGCATTAAATTTTCTTAAAACTCTTTTTTTTTCTTAATTAAACTAAAGGTAATCCATTAAAGACAAATGAGAAAAACATCATCGAAATCATTTTTTGTTCTATCTTTTTATTTTTTATTTTTTATGAAATCATATTAAATTAACGTCAAGCCTTGAGATTTAGGAGTCTTGTCAATTTAGAATCGGATTCGAATTAAAGTCTTGACACGATTGGCATGTTGAGGAGCGATCTAATTAACAAAAAACTATTTACGTGAAATGTTAAAAAAAATTAACCCAAATTGATTCCTTATTATTATTATTATTATTATTATTATTATAGAATTTTTATTGTTGTATAAAACATATCAAAATCATCATCCAGTCCCTAATAAATAGGAGACTCATTGGTCCAATATCAACTTTTACACCCTATATATATATATATATATATATATATATATATATTGTAACATGTGTAAAACTAAAAATGATTACAAAATAACACAATTAAATAATTTTAAAAAATGTAAGAAAACAAGCTGAAAGAGTAACTAAAAAATGACAAAAAAATACCCCTTAAAAATGACCAAATTGCTTCGTTGTTGAAAAAGACAAAAATGCCCCTCTCTTATAAAAGGAAGAAAGCGCCCATTTTGTTGGAAAAGACAAACATGCCCCTCTTGATGAAAAAGGATTAAACTAAAGTGGTATTTGATAAAATTAAAAATTAAGTACTTGAATCTATTAAGTACTGAATATGTTGCTAATAAACTATTTGGTATTTACTAAAAATGAAGTGCTTGAATATAATAAAATTATTTAAGAAGTACTTGTTGCTTGAACATACTAAGGTTATGTATATATATATATATATATTCCAAATAAGTTATTTTGATCTATTTAGCATTTTTTTCTTTCAAAAGAAAATCTGAAGCTTATCATTTATCATTTCTCAGCATCCCTTTTTATCTTCTTCTACGCCTCTCTCTTTAATTCTAAAAAAACTGACCTAAAAAATTTAAAGCCATGGCCTTGGATTTAGAGTCCAACATAAATCGAGAAAGGAACAAAATGATGACTGAAACATTATTTGTTAACGGCAACAAAGTAGAAGTCACTAGTGAAGAAGAAAGGTGTAAGGGAGCATGTTACGTTGCAAAAATAGTAAAAACTTCTTCCAAAACACAAAAGGCAACAACTTGGTTGAATATGAGTCATTACTTGCTGATGATGAAAGAGTATATTGATACTTCCATGATTAGGCCTTTGCCACTAAAGGCTAAAAAGTTCAAACCTTTTGAAGTTGGCTGGTGGAAAAGTGGGGGATAAAAAGAAGGCCATGAGATACACTATTGTTTTTGACAACCCACCTAACAAAATTGAGATTGGATCTTTAAGTTTGAGGTAGATTGAAAGAACAACTCTCGTGGATTAATTTACATGATTGATTCATTTTACCAGACAAAAGTATTACTAAATATGAGAGCTATATAGTTATATTTAAAAAATTTTAAACATATTTCAATTGAGCATGTTAATAAAAAAGTTTTAACTTAAAAAATTTAACTTACCTAATTAAATAAATTTTAACTGAACTTAAATTTTAAATATGAGATTATTTAAATTATCAAATAAATTTTTTATATTAAATATTATAACTTATTTTTTAAGTTACTTAAAATAGTTTGCTAAACACACCCTAACCCTACTCTTATAAACAATGAAACTTCCTTCCTTGACCTTCTCTTCCTATCCTTCTCGAGAACAAACATGTCCACATCATTTAAAACAAAGGCCATATGTTTTGAGGGAAAGACTAATACTACTGGCAGTAGCCTTTTCCAAATCCCCTAGCAACACAAAGCTTCATTCTTTCACACTTTCTCTCTTTCTTCTACTTTCTCTATAAAAGAAAGATATGAGAGAAATCTCTCTTTCAAATCAAACAATCCCATGAATAGGTTATAGAAACAATCAAAATCAAGAGAAAGAAAAAAAAAAAGATGCTAAAAATCTCCCTCCGTAATCCAACCAAAGACCTTCACTCTTGTGTTTTCATTTCAAGGGGGACAGGTTTGAAGATGGCATTATGGTCATAGGTTTGTAACAGGTGATAGAGATGGTCTGTGGGGGGTGACAGAGGTGATAATAGGTTTAAAGATAATAGGTTTACGACTATGAGATGGGGCTACTGGTGTTAATTATTGTAGGTGTTGAGTTGAGCGGGGGAAAAAGAAAAATGGGTCGATTGTACAAAAGGGAGAGCGAAATGGGCTAATGGGTTGGTTGGTGTTTTTAGAGTTTGGGCTAAAGGAGATTATGGCTGCTAGAGGGTGAAGGATGCAATAATTATGGATTTGTAGTGAGTTTGATGGTGACTGATTGAGGGTTTGTTGGATGAGGGTTTTGGCCTGTATGGTGACCTAGGGGTTGCTGTGAGAATATCGAGTTTAATGGAGGTTAGTGGCTGTTGTTGTAAGGAAGACCGATGGCAGAGGTTGTGATGAGTTGTTGTTTTGACACTGATCAATGGTACTAACTGTGATTCAATTGAATGAGTGTTCAGGCGAAGGATGAGGAGAAAACGGGTTAGGTGCACTACTTCGATTTTGGTGTCTCTAGGTTAAACAAGCTTCGACAATAGCTGGAATGATGAAAGTGATGCTTGGCGGTGATGAAAGGAGGGCGATAAGGTATTTGATAGTTGACAGCTAATGGTAGTGGATGTTTGGGTGATTTCGGGTAAACTAGTTCAAGATCCAAGTTTTTGAATTTTTGGTTTCTTTTAGGAGAGGATTGTCTGATGTGAAAGAGCTATGGGTTATAAGTTGTCATGGGATTGCTGTTTAGACTTGGGAGGGAGGAATGAAAAGTTATGGTGGTGGTTGTAGAGGTGGAAACAGTTAGAGCTTGATGATGAACCCGGATTGTAGGTTCAGCCAGATGAAAAAGATCATAGGAGGGGGAAAAATTTAGTGTAATTATTTTATTAATATTAGGGTTGCTAGGTTGTCTTTGGGGCTTCTTACATTTTTTCTTGCTAGGGTTTTTTTTTTTTTTTAGGTTAGGTTAATAATTCTGAAAGCTCCCTTAAAAATGAAGGGAAAAGGGTCTTTATATAGGGTTTTTTTTTAAGGTTTGGGATAAAATCAATTTCAAGTCCTTTTTTGAATTATTTTTATCAATTTCAACGTACATGTTATTATTTATCTCTAATTAACTCATCATTGAAATTATTTAATCTATATTTTTTGGATTTCTTTTAATTTTGCATCGATTAATTCTCAATCAAGTTTCTTGATTTTTTATCCCTTTTCAATTACATCCCTAATTGAATGTCATTTGGTCCTTGCTTTTCACATCATTTTTTATTGGATCCCAAATCATATTCTTAATTTTCTCATTCTTCTTTTTAAATTAAAAATGGAGAATAATTCTAAGAAATTAAAATTCTAAAAATGTATAAAAATGCTTGAAAATCGTAAAAAGGTCAAACTATGCAACATTTCATTTTTTAAAATTCTTGAATTCTTCTTGTTTTTATATATGAAAATAAATAGGGTAAAAAATGGGTTATAACATTAGCGGCAAACTCTAATCCGTCGATATTTTCAAATTTTCTTGTTGTGTAATGAATTAGTGCTGACGCTTCATTTTTGAATTGTTATTTTTAAGTTTTTATCTTAACAATTTTCATTCTTTAGTGATACTCTCATAAATATTATGGAGTTCATGACAATTAACTGCATTTTTTTTACTAACTTTAAAATTTATTGTCTTTTTTTTAACTTATATTAATCGTATTTGCATGATCCTAAATAATATAAATTTGTTCCACACCTAACTCATCTTTCATTCTCTAACGGGCATGGGCTAATCATTCATGTATTGAAAAATTCTGATTATAATATTATTGCATCTAAACATATTTTTCTTTTCAGTTAATTCCATCCAACTAATTTTATGTTTTTTTTTTTGTCTTATTTGAAATAAAATTGATAAAATTAAAAAGTTTGAAAATCAATTGATAATAGTATCATAAATTTTCAACTAATTGAGGTTTACTTTCGTCCTCATGTAGGCTGTATATGGAAATATGGCGTCATTCATGCATAGCCCTTACATTGCAAGACGACAACTTTCGTTTTATCGGAATGGCTACATATTTCTATCTCTTTTGAAGTAAACAAAACTTTTAGGAGGGAAGAATTGAATGGCAAAGTACACATCAAACACAAAATGGGTTTACCAATATCGAAACTCGATACAATATGAATTTTTTTTCGAGATCCTAAGTTTTTTTCTATATAATTTAAGAGTTTTATTCTTATGTTATTGTTGTTGTTTCAAACACTAAGTTGTCATTAGGTGGAGTACACACATGATAAGTTATCATTGGCTAAGATCTAAAACAATATCGGAATAGGAGTAAAAATCTTAAATTAGACAAAAAAAAAAAAATTAGTCTCAATTAAAAAAAAATCTGAATTATATAGGTTCTCAATATGCCTAAAATCCAACACAAAATTCTATTAATAAACTATGAAACATAGGCATTAAGCAAAAAAAAAATGGAAATTAACCATTGACCAGCCAATTCTGATCACATATTCTAATATTACACATAGCAATCACATTCAACAGAGCATACCACCCTCGTTTATTCCTTGATATGGCCTAAATTTTGGAAGCTCAAGCACGTTCTCTTATCAGAACTAAACCATATCGAAAACCCATTTCAATATTAATGCCTATTCATAAAGCTTGTGTATCTTCAATTAGCTTCTGTGCATTAGAAGCAGTCTGATCTGGATCCATAAGGATGGCAATCTTATTGAAATAAAAGCTATGACTCATTCCATCACTACAAAAATCAATTAATTGATAATAGTATCATACATTTTCAACAAATTGAGCTTTCCTCAATGAATTTTTACTTCTTTTTTTTTTTTTTTTTTCCTCATGTAGGCTCTACATAGAAACATAGTGTAATTCATGCATAGCTCTTACATTGCAAGATGACAATTTTCATTTTATCGAATTGGCCGCTTGTTTCTTTCTATTTTGAAGTAAAAGACACTTTTATTCGGAAGAAAAATAATTCTAGTACAGCACCAACAATGGAATGGCAAAGTACACCTCAAACACAAAATTCCATTAATAAACTATGAAACGTAGGCATTAAGGAAAAACAAAAGAAGGGAAATTAACCATTACCAGCCAATTCTTATTACACATTCTAATATCTCACATAGCAATCACATTCAACAGAGCATAACACCCTGATTTATTCCTTGACATGGCCTAAATTTTGGAAGCACAAGCCCGTCCTCTTGGCAGAACTAATCCATATTGAAAACCCATTTCAATATTAATGCCTATTCATAAAGCTTGTTATCTCTTCAATTAGTTTCTGTGCTTGAGAAGCAGTCTCTGGATCCATGTCGATGGCGGTCTTATTAAAATAAAAGCTATGACCCATTCCATGATTCATCATTACCTCAACTTCCTTGCCAGCTTTCTTCATTTCCTCAATGTATTCCAATTCACCGTCGCGAAGCAAATCAAGCTCCGCCACCACAATCAACATTGGCGGAAGCGTCAGATTGGCTAGTGGTGGTGCTTCTGGACCCATTGGGGACGTAATTGGATGGTCCCTAGTGCTACCAACAGGCAAAGCAAATGACATGAACTTGTTTACCATTTCACGTGTTAATAATGGATTGTCTGGTGATTCCAAAAGTGATTTACTCGGCTCGGATCGCATGAAACCAGGGTGTATAGCCACACCACCACCTATCCTCAACGGTTCAATGTCATCCGACCCGGCTCGAGCTGCTACTTGATGAACTAAATTTCCACCAGTGCTATCCCCAACTAAATATATTCGGCTAAAATCCGCGTAGCCTGTGATCCATTGATCGGATAATTCACCACGAGAAATGGCCCGAAGCCATAGAAATGCAGCATAAGCATCCTCGCTTGGAGCCGGGAGCTTATGCTCTGGGGCACGGCGAAGGTAAACCGAGACACAAATGGCTTGAGCAGAGCGTACAAGCCATGTATAGTAGTGGTAGTACATGTACATATCCGGTTGGCTGATACAATAACCACCACCATGAAAATGAAGGATCACAGGAAGCTTGCCCTTGTTTTGGCCATTCTGGTCCTTCTCTGGAATGTATATCCGGACAGCAAGGCCGCTCTTTGGATCAATGGTTTGGTCTCGGATAGCCACCCCATCTTTGAAGTTTTCATGAGGTGGGACTGATTCCATCAAGAACCCAAGCTCAGGTGGACCTGTCCATGTCCGGTCAACAGTGCCATCTTCAAAAACTCGAAGATAACCAGTAACCTCATCAACGACTTTTTTGTTGGTGTCCATGGCTAGTTAGATAGCCTGTTTTTTTCTATTGAGATATATAGTCTTAGAGGGGTCTATTTTGTAATGGACAAGAAGAGGGTTGTTGGGTATGAACACTAGTCAAGTTTCACCAATTATTTTACTTCTATTGACGTTGTTGACTAATGTAATTTTATTATTCAGCATCATCAACAGTGAAATTTCCCATAAAATAACAATAAACTTTATACTTTATATTGTAACATACTATTCATCACTTCAATCATTTTTAAAAAAATTACTAATAATAATTATTGATAATTGGTGAAAGGTGCAATGAAATGAAAGCTATATTGATAATTGTTGAGAAAAAAATAATAACAATAATAACAATAATAATTTAGTTTATGAATTTAGCAATATTCCTATATTATAAAAGAATCTATTATTATTTTTTTTTTAGAGCCAAGGTTGGGTATGAATTATTGATCCAAGTTTCACCGATTATCGATATTTATTATATAATAGTTATTAATAATTGATAAAGGGTATAGTAATAAATTAGTAATTATCTAAAATAAAATAATAATTTGTTTTGTGAATTTAGTAGTATCATTTTATAATATATATATATATATATATATTGAGAGAGTGGGGTGGGGGGTGAACTACTAGTCCAGTTTCACCAATTATTTTTCTTCTATTGACGTTGAATAATGTAATTTCATTGTTCACATCATCAACAATGAAATTTCCCATAAAAGAACAATCAACTTTTAACTTTAGACAATAAAAGAATCTTTCCTACTGTTCCTCCCCCCACCCCCACCCCCCGGCGGGTTCTAATATTTTGTATTTTAGTGGGCTTTGGAATTTTGGGTTTTTGATTTCTTGTTGAAAAGATATTATTATTATTTTTTATTTTTTTATTTTTCGAAATGAGTAGTAAAATATTAGGTTAAGAATGGACAATTAAAAGTTAAAAAATAATTATAATAAAGTGCTTTCCTGATTTTGTATGGAATTTTTGTTTTTTGTTTTTGTTGTTTTTTAATAATAGTATTTTGTTTAGTTTTAGTTCGGAAAGTTTTGTTGTTAATGGAGCAGCAAAAGATCAGCTTAAACTTGGGTTTAGCCAAGTTAAATAGAAATTAAAGAAAGACAATGGATAATCAATTGTTATTAAGTTGTTTTACTCGTTTTAGTAAATATGGTTACATACTGTTGGCGTTTGCAATAAGAAATGACTTGTAATGCAGGTTTTTGACCCAAGCGATGTGAAGCCATATGAATTTGTACAGTCTGGTTTTATTTATTTATTTATTTTTTAAGGGTACCATCTAATTTGTCAATCCATCCATAACTGGTCCAATTTCTTATTGTACAGGTTTTCAATTTAATTTCTTTGCACAATAACTAATCTGGAATATGATTAATATGGGAAACACAGAGAATAATATTCCAGAAAAAAAAAGAAAAAGAAAAAGAAAAAGATATCCCTCTTCAAAAGAGATAAGAAACTAATACTAGTTGAATTGCAATTTATTGACAGTTTTCATATTAAGTGGATTGCACGACAGATATAATTTGAGTCACATCACAAAATTGATTTTATTATATACATTTGTCTATTTGTTGGAATATTTTTCAATGAAAACTCCAATTGAAAATTTTTATTGGTCCTAATTTTTCATGCTTTATTAATTGAACCTAAATCCTAAATTTTCAAGTTATCTCATTCTTTTTCTTTTGTCTTTATTATTTATCTTTTTGTTTTCTTTTTTTTTTTAAATTCAAAATGGATGGAATAAAAAATTAGGTGCTAACGAGTTGTTTTTTCTTTATAATCTTTACGATACAAAGTTATTGAAAAACAATTTTTTTCTCTTTTGCATAGAAAGTTTTGTAAAGAAAAAAAAACAAACAAACAAAATATGAGTAATTGTTGCTCAATTTTTTATCCTCTTTCATTTTATAGATTTTTATCTTTTGGTTAGAATTTTTAGGAATCCCGTAATTTTTGTAAGTTTAGAAGAATTACAAAAAAAATAAAAAATTAGAACTTGGGGTTCAATTAAAAAAATATATGGAGAATTGGAACCAACAAAAATCTAATTAAGGGTTTTAATTGAAAAGATTCTAATTAAAAGCTGGTTTGAAGAGAAAAATGAAAATATGAGATGACAAATTAAAAATAAAAAAAAATGACAAGTTAAGGTTTTTTCCAAAACTGTTATAACTCACACTTTATAAGCATCATTTGTTTTTCCATAACATAGAAGGAGACCATCTCATTTCATTTATTACCTTTTTTTTTTTCCTTCCAAGACAGAAAGTGCAATTTGTGCATCCGTAGGATCTAGAAACTATCAAAATAAAAAAAGTAAGAGGGGATTTGGTTCATGCAAGTATTAGGATAGGTACCCAAGATTTAATCATGTTTGGATAGATTTGAGTTATTTTATCATTGCATTAATTATTTTATTAATAATAAAAGAAGTTTTTCTATTAATTCTTATTGTTTATATTTGTTTATTAAATTAGAATTAGATAGAAGTTCATATGATATACATTTGCATTAGTGATTGATCGAAAGATATAAGACAAACACTAACTCACACAAATGATATCGTTAAATGTCCCAAGTCGTAGCATTGTCAAGAATGGACATTGACTATATGTGATTAAACTTGTAAATACTATGTTCATGCTATATAATAGCAGTAAGAGATCTCACACTATTTGACATGATGATGCTAAAGCAAGCACTTAGGCGATTTATATTAGAGAACATATCATTAGACTTGACTCACCATGAGAACCCATTTGGTTTAGTCTATGGGAATCGATACAAAATGAGTACAAATGGTCCTTAAACTTGAAGTCATCACAATTATCTCATTAGAGATTTGTATACTTTGACGCTCGTTTTGATGGACCCGATAAAGGGTTGCAAGTGGGCGATTCATTACGTGCACTATGAATCTAATGAAGGTAGGTGGATGACTAAGATAAGACATGTCGTTCCTTGTATATTTAAAGAGTTATCATATTGCACTTCGATGAATATCTGTTCAAGAAATATGTGGTCACAATAGGAGTACACCGAGTAGAGCATAGTTGGTTTACTTGTTAGAGCTAAGACATTTAGGAATCAAAGAAAACTTGTGTGATCATAATCGAATAAGACTAATAACCAAGTTCGAGATCACACTTGTAATAAGTTGACATGAGGACTTAATTATATAGTAACCATACTTATGAAAGGTAATTGTAGATTAATTAATCCTTTCAAAGAATTGAGTAGTCATGATGTCTTGCTAAAGGCCGATCTTGATTTATGTATCAAGAGATAAAAGATGTGTCTTTTACTCTTGATATATTACCAACATATCTAGGAGCCTATTAAGTCACATGCTTAATTTTAAGCATTTGCATAATAAAAGAGAAGCAAGATGTTAGAAACGATTTCTAATTTTGAAAGCTTTCTAGTTTGGAAAAGGTTTTCGAAAATAAAAAATTTCCTAAAATGAAAAGTTTCTTATTTTAGAAATAAGTTTCCTAGTTTAAAAGATAATTCCAAATTTAGAAGCAAATAATCTAAAAGGAAAATTAGTTTTCTAATTTAGATTTAATGATAATTTAAGAAATTATTTTATAATGTGGGTCTCTTAAAAATATCAAGCCTAATTTATTTGGATAGTCCAAATTAATTAGCAATTAATTAGGCCAATAGGTTTAATTTAAAAGCTTATAAGATATTTTGATGGGAGGATAAATATGAACCTTTTTGGATAACTATTAAATTTATTAGGATAAGTTTAAAAAGATTACATGCATAATAACTCCTAATCCTTTGAGGATTAGGAAGCAATACCTGAGTCCTTTTACTTTATCGGTTTTGGTAGTCTAGCCCACTCTACGAAAAAGAATTTAGATGGGGCGGCAAAAAGATGAAAAGCCGAGTGAATTGAAGAAAAACGTAAAGGTCTGGAAAGGAATATGATTTTACGAGTGGATGAAAAAGGCGTAATTAGATTTAAAGGGAGGTTGTGTGTTCCCTCGATGGAGGATGTGAAGGAAGAGATATTAAAAGAAGCACATATAACTCCCTATTCGATACACCTAGGAAGCACAAAGATGTACTAGGACCTACGACAATGTTATTGGTGGTCCGGAATGAAGAAAGACGTAGCTAATTTTATGGTAAGATGTCAAGTCTGTCAATAGGTGAAGGCGAAACACCAAAGACCCTCGGAAATGTTAAAACCATTGGCGATTCTAGAATGGAAGTGGGAACATATAACTATGGATTTCTTCATGGGATTGTCAAAATCAAAAAGCGGGTTGGACGTCATTTGGGTACTTATGGACGAGTCGACCAAATCGGCGCACTTTTTTCGATCAAAACCACCTACAAGCTGAACCACTACGCCTAGTTGTACCTTGATGAAATTGTAAGATTACATGGGATTTCGATCTCAATTATGTCAAATAGAGATCCTAGATTCACTTTCGCATTTTGAAAGAGTCTACACAAGGCCATGGGTACGAAGCTAAGCTTCAACACGGCTTATCATCCATAAAGCGATGGGTAATCCGAACGATTGATCTAGATTCTTGAAGATATACTTGCGAGCATGCGTTCTAGATTGGTCCGAAAAATGAGAGAGATACATATGCTTAGCTAAATTTACTTATAACAATAGCTATCAAGCTTCGATTGGGATGGCTCCCTATGAAGCTTTGTATGGGTAACGATGTAGATCTCCTATGCATTGGGATGAGATAGGGGAAAGGAAGTTCGCTGGGACTAGAGCCGGTGCGGCAAATGGCTAAAATGGTGGAAAAGATCCACCAACGGATGAAAACGACTTAGAGCGGACGGAAAAGCTACGGCGATAAGAGGAGGAAGGATTTGGAGTTTATAGTCGGTGACTATGTATTCGTAAAAGTTTCACTTATGAAGGGCATACTACGATTTGGAAAAAAGGTGAAGTTAGGTTCGCGATACATTGGACCATTTGAATTCTTGGACCGAG